GTTTTTATGATTTGCAATGCGCAACCTGTTATTTTGGTGGTATTTAAATGACATTTAACCAATTGGTTCAAGCTTATCACCTGACAGTGAGGTTAGCTTGTAAGATTAAAGACATCATATTAAAATAATCAATATTTTATAATTGGTCTGATTCTGAAAACATGAAATTGTCATTACCTTAATAATAGGCATACTGTGCTTTTTATTTTATCAGTATGAAAGATATTTTTTTCCTTGATAGAAGGGATTTTAAGATATTTTATGCCACCTTTATGTTCTCTTCCTCCAGGTAATAATTGATGACCAGTTACCTGTTGATCATAAGGGAGAATTGCTTTGTTCTTATTCCAACAACAAAAGTGAATTATGGGTTTCTCTCATAGAAAAAGCATACATGAAAGTCATGGGAGGATATGATTTCCCAGGATCCAACTCAGTAAGTAATGGGTAGGATGATCCATACTTATACTGTTTAGTATGACTGTTTTAACTTTGAAAAATTCTTTATGTTGTTTTTACTCGTAGAAAAAACAGGTTATCAACTCCGGAAAAATGTTGATCCCTTATTATGGGAATACATGTTTTCTTGTGTAAGGATAGCACATTGTAGAATTACATATCCAGGAAGGCCTAAAATGTCTGTCTACAGTTATGTTAGAATACATAACCAATTAAATACCTTTCCAGAAGCAGCCTATTCAGATCAAATGGATATGTCATATTTTCATCCTTAGGTATATTTTAATTTGTAAATTCAGGTTTAAGGAGTTATTTTCCCCAACCTTAACACAGTTTAACCTGTAAAATTGAGATGTGTGTCAATGTCCTTTAGTTACATGAGGTAAACTAGTAGACTTAAGCCAGATCTTTGTCAGATTGGCATGACTTTAAATTTTGACTCTAACCAGCCTGTTAGAAAAGGTATGTAACCTTTTTTAGCCTCTTTGCACGTCTGTAGTATATGGATAGTATTCACCTCTCGGAGTTGTAAAGATGAAGTAATGTATGCAAATTACCCATCATTCTTAACTGATTAGTTTCCCTGCCTAATACCAGGCCTCCTTCAGGCTTCAGGTTCTTATAATGCTAGGCAAAGAATGTGTAGGTCATGGTTAAATGCAATGGGATGTATTTAACTCTGTTAAATGTAACTATCCTGTTATAGTTTCTTTCTTGCCAGCCTGCACTTTCAGTTGCTGTATGCTTTGTAATCCATTGCTTGTTAATTTACCCAGTATAGCTTAGAAAGAATGAAAATGTATGTGAAATATTAGAAGTGACTATTATATTGTAAGAACTCACTAAATGGTGAGTGACTGTCATTATCAAAGCAGTTTTTTCTGTTATACGGTTTGAGTTCTCATCGTATTCACCGGTAAAGCAGTTCTCTTATATTTGGAAAGAGTAGCAAAGGTTGTAAAGAAAAAATGTGTATGTGTTTAAATCCAGTTAGGAATTCAAGTTAAAGAAGAAATTTATTACTGGCTAAAAACAACTACCTTCTGATTTTTTCCTACCGAAATCATTGTACCAAATCAGTGAGATTTTACAGCTACCCTGGGGATTTATTTAAGATCTTAAATATGATGTTGACAGTCCTGATGTGTTTATGCTGCAGAATATTGATCTTCATGCACTGACTGGATGGATACCAGAAAGGATTGCTATGCATTCAGATAGCCAAACTTTCAGTAAGGATAATTCTTTCAGAATGCTTTATCAAAGGTAAACATTTCTTCTTCCTTTTTTTTCTTTTATGGTAAAAGAGGACATGTGAAAACATCATGCCTTATTTAGAATAGAGATTGCAGAAGCTGTCATTTTTAGTTGTTATTAGGACAGTTGTTTTTAAAATAGAATTCACGTTATGTACTTGCTACAGTCAGTCCTCAGTTATCCCCATTGATAGTTACAGTTAATCCAAATTGTAGATAATCCAAAATATTTGAATCTGGAAAATGTAAAATGAAAAAAAGTATTTTGTGCTTACTAATTACTTACCAATTTGAGGGAAAGTGGGAAAAGAGAAGTCTCAGAATTTAAGGCTTAAATGGATAATCCATGTATAGGGACTGGAAAATTGTTTAAATAATATACACATTCAGTAGCAAAACTAAAAAGCTCAGTGATTTGCTACATAAAATGATGATTCCTTTTTGGGAAATGTATTTGGCATTTCACATCTTTATCCTTATTTGTAATCCATGTGAAAATTTAGC